AGTTGAAGCGTTATATTATATATATATATACACACATATATATACAGGGCTCATATATATACAGGGCTCACAAAAAAGCATTTATATAATAAATAGTACATAATATAGAGTAAAAAGTTTTAATATCCATAGGTTGAAAACTGAACTGTTTCTAAAAAAATTATAAATGATTTTGTATATTAGTATCATAATTGACTTATTAGTTTCCATGTATCGCATGTGACATGATTTACCTGAATGTTTACAAATCGCGTTCTGAATGCTCCCAATTATGATAAAATTCGCGTAGATGGGATTTCAATCAGGGAAGGTCAACTGGTCTACCATGTCCAATTCATTTTTAACCAAACACCATATTTAAGTACTCCCTTACATTATGCATAAAGAGATTCAAGTTATGCATGTATATAATCATGTATAATTATACATGGATATAATCTTTCAGCTGGAGGTATAAACTTTATAAGAATTGAAGTAATTTCTTGATGAATATTACGATCAAAGTCCACAGTGGGCTGTGTCGGCATTGCCGACCTAGATAACATTTATGTTGCATAAGTATTGCATATCTAAAAGACGTCTTTTTTAAACATAAGACATCTAAAAGACTTTTAGATATCTTATGCAACATAAATGTTATCTGGGGAGTTGCCTGCTATACAATGTCAGTATTGCTCAACATGATTACCAATGTTGACACGACTCGAGCAATGCAGGTACTGCCCACTATATGGACTTTGTCCATAACATATTCACTAAGAAATCAATTTTAGAATCAGTCTCCAGCTGAAAGATTATATCTATGTAGTATATGCATGATGGGCTTTCTTTATACGTAATGTGAGGAAATATTTAAACACGGTCAAAGGTGGATTGGACCAGTTGGCCTCCTGATGCCCTAATTTAAATTCCTTAAACTTTTTTCACTCTATAAGCATCATATATTCTTTGCTAATGAATAATTTAAAGAATTATATGACCGAATCTAGTATGCTTATCAAATAATCTTAAAGATCTAGAATTTTTGAGTTCATGATTCTGTAAAATGCCAAATAAGTATGAAATGAAAGGGAGACATATATAGAGTAAACGTTGTTTATTTCTGTAAACGTTAAAGTAATAAGATTTGAGGAAATCTCTTTTTATATCGTATACGACATGTAGGAAATCAATTAGTCAGTAATGATATTAATATACAAAATTATTTATATTTCTCAAAAACAGTTCAGTTTTCGATCTATGTTTATTAAAACTTTACTGTCTATCATCTCGAGTAGCACAACATTCATTGGCTAAATTTTGGCATATATTGCAGGAGATATATTGGATCAATGTTGCGTCGATGAATTATACACGAAGAGAATTTTCTTTTAAAATTTACTCTGAAAATATAATAATTATGATACAATACAATTTTAAAGATTTTTATCATACACTTTAATAAAATTAATCGAACTTATATTTTATACTTTATTGTAGTTTTATTAATGAATGAGAGAGGTTTACATTAAAATTCCTCGAAATACAATATTGTCCTCACAATTATCATATTTTCAGGATAAACTCTAAAAAAAAATTTTCGTGTAGAGATATAAATGCTGAATGGTTTTTTGTTTTGGTTAAGCACCCTATATAAATAAACATTTTTTTATATATATAAATATATATTCATATATATAATTATGTATATAAATATAATGCACGGAGACGAGATTGTCGTACTGCGATATATCAATCGTGTTTTGCACTGGCTGCCTTCGATATAATCTTTTGTTTTCTGTTCGAGGTAGTGTGTGTGTCAAACAAGAATCCCATTGTGTGAAGTAAAAAGTCATACACGCATCAGGACCGTTTTTAATTGTTATTCCGTCATTATCTGTGAACTCACTCTTCTCCTTTACAAATTTCAAAAAATTTATTAATCGATATCGGTTTTTCTCAAATGGAAATAAATTTTACACTATAATAAGATGCGTTGTTGTTTATGATTCATTTAATTTTATTCAATAATCAATATTTTCTTTTATTTTATTCAATAATCATTTTAGATTCATCTTATTTTATTTACTAATCAATATTTCTACTAATCAGAAATAATTTTTAAAAATATTTTCCAATAACTTTCCACGTTTAACTTCGAAAAGAGGAGATACAAAAAAATTTTAATAACATCACGCAATCTGTTTGAATACAATTTCTTTTACCTAAGAAAAAATTTTAAAAATAATTTCAAATAAAATAAATCTCTTTTATGAGAACTGATAAGAGAATTTTGAAGCACCAGGGAAGGATATTCATAGATCGAGGACAATCGAGAGTATCGTGAAATGTTTGAATACAATTTTTTTTACCTAAGAAAAGATTTTAAATAATTTTAAATAAAATAAATCTCTTTTGTAAGAACTGATAAGAGAATTCTGGAGCAACAGAGAAGGAACATTGACAGATCGAGAACAATCGAGAACGTCGTGACAGGTAGGCTCGCGGCGATCATGTGACGGGCGCGCGCACGATGCGCGACGGTCCTGACACGTGGCGGGTGCGCGCGCGGGTGCAGACGACTTGCCGCGTGACGTCAGCGGCGCGCAGCGACGAGCGGACGAGTGACGGCATGGCCACGAGCCAAAGGCCGAGCCGAGCGAGTGGCCGAGCCAAGCCGAGGCGAGCCGCGAGCGGCGTGACCGCGGTGGCGGTGCTGCGGGGCTTCACCAGTCGAGCAGTGGAGAGCAAGCAAATATGGCCGCCGTACGGCCACATAATAATGCGTAGCGGATTCGCCGCCGTTGGAAGCGATCGCGTGCGAGTGCGTGTATGATGTTGCTGAAGGATCGGACTGCGACGACGAAGAAGTATCGCAGGCATCATGGAAGAAACGGTGCCAGATCCGCGGCCGGTAAGTGCCAATCGAGCGATCGCTACGCACAAAACCCGCGAGATCGCCGCACGATTCTCACTCACTCCGTCTCTCTCTCTCTCTCTTTCTCTCTCATTTCACCTCCCGCTCATCCCCTTCATGCATTTAGGTTCTCCTCCCCCCCCCCCCTCAGCCGCTCGTCTATGCGAGTGAGCCTCCTGCTCCCCGCGATATCGACCATGTATATAAACACACTGAACACACCAGCTGGAGCGATGCACGACAGTGAGCCGCGTCCCAGCAAATGAGAATGGATTGAAATGGATTAAAATGGATTCAGATTTTCAGAAATACAGATTCGTGAATGTTCAAATGAAAATCTTTTTCAATCCTGAATGCAATTTTTATTCATTTATATGAATTGCATAAAGCAAATGTCTATGCCTTTTCAATCTTGAATACATTTTTATTCATTTATTGCATGGAGCATATTTTTACCTTTCAATCTAAAAATAATATTAGCATTTTCTGTCGTGAATACTACTCAATTCAGAATTGTGAGTAGGAAGTACAGTTTTTTTTAATTTAGTTAAATTCAAAAATAATATCAACAATTTCTGTGCAACGTGAATACTGCTCAATTCAATATCCTGAATATGAAATGCAGTTTTTCAATCTAATTGAATAAAAAAAAGTTTTTAATTAAAAATGAACCATAAATGCTACTTAAATAATTTAAAATTGTAAATAGGAAATTTTTTATTTTAATCCAACTAGTTCAAAAAAGTTGTAACGTAAAAATAATTGAGCTGTGTTCTTTTGTTTCTTTTCGATTAGAAATACAATGAATGAATATCAATGTGAACACTCGCAAACCAAATCGAACACAGCCCGAATATTAGGCTAATCACAGCGCGCGACATCGGCCAAGCAAGATTAGTTTATCCGACATTTATTTAATGTTGTTTTATAGTAATGTAAATTATTTATATTTTATTATATTTGTCAAATGATGATATTTTTATTATATCTATATGATTCGTTAATAGCTTAGCTGGTTGTAGTTAAAGTAAAAAATGAATAACGTATTTATCAATTGAAGAAGTGGTGTAGTAGGTAACGTAGAGATTCATAATCTAAGAAGTTCCAGGTTCGAATCCCATTAAGGTGTGTTTTTTAATACCAATTTAAAGTAGTTAATTTCAGGTATAATTATTATAAATGTCTTAGAAATAAAATTTGTAACTCCTTAAATATGAATGTATTTTTTTTCGAATATTAAATTAATGTCGGCTCGGATCCATTCAATCTAAAGTACGCATTAAAAAAGTTTTAATCCATTTTAATCCATTGTCGTTTGCTGGAGTGATAAATCGGGGGTCTGTCTTAGACACAAGCGCAAGATTCAAACTTGCAACGAGCATTATCGCATTTCGTGTCACAATATTTTTTTTCCAAATCACCTCCACATTTTAATCGTTCAAACAAAGATACGGGTGTCGACGAGACATCGTATTACGTTTCGCCGTTGTTCGTATAGGAGGGATAGTCGTACTCCATGAATACCGTAAGATCGGTCATTCTTAAGCGTGGTTTACGTACAAACGCGTCCGTGCGTGCAAGGTATGTAGGTATGTACAGTACATGCGATATGGCGGCGAGAGAACGATCCGGATCGCTCTTCCCGGATTCGTTTTTCTCCGATCGATCGGCGAACCTTACATACGCGATATCAGTCGTTTCACCTGGAATCGGATCGCCTCACGACTTTGTTTATTATGGAGCATGATTAGGGCAAAACGCAACGGTCCAAGTGCGTTTTCGACATGCAGAAAGATACGCAAGTAATTACTCTATGCAAGTAATAATTACTTATTTCAAGTCTTTAAAAAGTTCATATATCCGCAAATCTATCGTAAGTACATCAACAGAATTGAATTTATTCAAAATATATTCTGAGTAAGTAAAAATATATTCTTAGTAAGTTTAATTAATACTTCGATCAAGTTTATTAAATTAATAGAAATTCGATTTGTTTGAAAAGTTTATTATAAAAAGTTTATTTCTTTCGATCAATTTAATTTATAATATTTTTCAAAAGAAAATAAATCCTTGTTTTGAGTACATAATAAATATAATTGAGTTTTTTCTAAAATTTTGTAATAAGTATATTTTAAGATTATTATTAGGAAAATGTTTTTTCTTTCTCTAAAATAATCGTTGCTTAAAAGAAAGAAAATAAATTGGGTAATCACTTTTCTTAGCAGTAGATTGATATTTTTCTGGCTGACACAACTAGGATTACCGTATCAACATTTTTTTAACTAGAATTTACAAGCTAAAAATCTTCAGCATTTCACTTGCAATTCCGGACGCGTACAAAAATGCGTGTAAATTAGTAAAATTGGTTAGTGAATAATTATTTCATAATTAATTGCTCATTAGGCATATAATTTAACATAGGAAATTGACCAATCATAATCAATTATTTTCTTTACATTCGTTATTAATTAATTTTTTTATTGCTTAAAATCGTAATCACATTAGTGATTAACGATTATTTTTCAACTATTGGATTGTCCGGAAAGTTCGTGCCGACTAATATATATACCTATATAATTTAATAAATGTATACTAAAATTTAAATTTTCTGCGTTTCAATTTTCCTTCAACATCGGCACGAATTTTCCGGACAACCCAATAATTAAAGCAAAATGACTGATCTGATTGGTTAAAAAATAATTTGTCAATCACAATCGTGCAACAATTATGATTACAGCTGGACAATAAGCTAATTACCTAAGTTTTAAGTCTTAAATCATTAGATATTAACCAATCACAGTTGAATGTGAGAAAAATAATCGATCATGATTGATCAATTTATTATAGATTAATAGACTTTCTACAATAAGTCATTACTTAAACTTTAAATCTTAAGCTATATGAAATTAACAAATCGATTTTTCTCTTCACATTCGACTGTGATTGGTTAATGTCTTATGATTTAAGACTTAAATAATAACTTAAATAATAACTTATTATAAGAAGCCTATAAGATTTAAGCTTAAGTAATGACTTAGAAAGTCTATTAAGGCTTTTGGATAAAAAAGGCTACCGCGAGACGAATCAAAGCAAAATATTTAGAAGCTTCCTTGAAACTTCAGATACTTATAATTATCTCGAACGTCTTTCGAAAATCTCCGGGCATTCTAAAAAAGAAAATAATATCCCGGGAAAAAAAGAGGATCAGCAATCCTACATTCACAGAGATGTCCTGAGAATATTTTTAGGACTGAGAATATTTTTACGTTCAAAGAACATAAGAACATCCTCTGGACATTCCTTAAAGATCTGTGATGTACGGGCAATAAAAATTTTAGAGATTTACCCTCGAGATTTACTGCAAACTGATTTCTTGAAACTTTTGCTGTTAGCTTTTCGTGATCCAGATGAAGATTTGAAGACCCAATTTGTGAATTTTCAATTATTCTATCTCAAATTCAGCTCGTAAAAAGTGAAAAATGTTTCGGGTCATATTATTGTATCGCATTTTTGAATGTTATAAAATTGTATCAGATAAGATAATTGTACCAGAATTTTTCAGATATTTCAAAAATCCTTTGAAAAATATAATGAGACTAATAACTCGATTGACTAAGAAGGTAGTAAAAAAAACGTTAAATCGCGGAAAATTAAGCCCATATCAGATTACGTAATAATTGGGAATTAAAGATTAGAATTCGATCACTACCAGATAATTTTAATCCGTTTCGTTTGGAATTAAGTGTACAACTTTGCTTCCGCCATTTTCCTATAGATGGCTTTAGCGGTAAGTGGTGGTCGAAATAAATAGATCATAGACGTCATACAATAAACTTGGGCATCTGTCAACATAACCCCATAGAAACATTAGTCGATTTGTCTGCATCATAAAGTTATTCTCGATTGAAAATGTCAGTTTACGAACCAAATTCTCGTCATTTGCGGGAGGTTTTAATTTTTTGCTTCAATATGAAGAAATCTGCGGCTGAGGCTCATCGAATGCTCTCAAATACTTATGATGAGGCCGCTATTAGTGAAAGAACGTGTCGTGAGTAGTTTCAACACTTCAAGAACGGTGATTTTGACGTCGAAGACTGGCATAGCGGTGGAAGAGAGAAGGTTTTCGAAGATGCAGAATTGGAGGCATTACTTGAGCAAGACTCGTGTCAAAATCAAGAAGAATTGGCATTGGGAGTGACTCAACAGCCATTTCAAAATGCCTCAAAGCCATGGGAATGACTCAGAAGCAAGAAAATTGGATGCCGTACGAATTGAAGCCGAGAGATGTTGAACGGCGTTTGTTTGCTTGTGAACAGCTGCTTGAAAGGCAAAGACGGAAGGGATTTCTGCATCGCATTGTGACTGGGGACGAAAAATGGGTTCATTACGATAATCCCAAGCGCAGAAAATGATGGGGAGTTCCCAGCCATGCTTCCACGTCGACGGCCAAACCGAACATTCACGGCTCCAAGGTCAAGCTCCAAGCTCTGTATTTGGTGGGACCAGCTCGGCGTAGTGTATTATGAACTGTTAACACCGACTGAAACAATCACAGGCGATCGGTATCGAACGCAATTGCGTTTGAGCCGAGCATTGAAAGACAAACGGCCGCAATATAACGAGAGACACGATAAAGTGATTTTGCAGCATGACAATGCTCGACCCCATGTTGCGAAAGTGGTCAAGATATATATAATACTTGGAAACGTTGAAATGGGAAGTCCTACCCAACCCGCCGTATTCTCCAGACGTTGCTCCCTCTGACTATCACTTGTTTCGATCAATGGTACACGGCCTGGCTGACCAGCACTTCCGGTCTTATGAAGAAGTTAAAAATTGGATCGATTCGTGGATAGCCTCAAAAGATGACCAGATTTTTTCGACGCGGAATTCGTACGTTACCCGAAAGATGGGAGAAAGTAGTGGCCAGCGATGGGCAATACCTTGAATCATAAATGTATAACCAATTTTTTACAATAAAGCCTCGAATTTCGGAA